TCAGCTCCTCTATTTTTTTTATTTGTGTCCTCTCTAGATTTGTTAATCATGTCTTTCTCTATGAGCACGATCTTTGTTGTTTTCTGAGAAATTATTTCTGATTTCATTTTTTCCAGATCCTCTTTTGTTGTCAGTTCAGGGAGTCCAGGTGGTTGAGTATCAAACTGTTCCCCTTTTGAGTTGCCTTAAGTGATCTGGAAGTCTTGTTTTGAGACTTGTTTATGTGTCTTCTCATTTCAACAGATGCAGTCTGCTGTGCCTTTGTTGAGGCAATTTTTTACTCACCCAATGGTCTTCAATTCTCACCAAACTACTGAGTAGCCTTTTCTCTGCTACTCACCAGTGCACCAATTCCTGAGTTCAGAATGGTTACCTTCTGAATCCCTGAGCTGACCTGTTGTCTGGGGAGGCTTCTGGCTGTAGCTTATGTATACTTGGGATGGTTTCTAGGTGTGCCTCTGGCTAGGGCCTGCCCCCCTATGTAGCTGTTGTCTGGTAGGGCCTTTGGCTGTGGGCTGTGCACTGCAGACACTGGAATCTGATCAGGCTTCTGGCTAGGGTCTTCATGCACTTACTGATGGTATTGGGGCAAGCCTCTGGCTGTTGCTTGTGCACCTGTCTGGCTCTTTTCTAGGCAGGCCCTTGGCTTGGGTCTGTGTGCCCAAGCAGCCAGGGTTGAGTTGGGGCCCTGGCTGGACCTCCCTGAAGCCACATCACTCTGGTCACACTGTTGCTCACTCGGATCTGTGCACACTTACCAGGATGGGTTCTGGATGTTGGATGTGCATTTGTGCAGCTCTTTTTCTGGTGGGCCTTTGGCTTTGGCCTGTGTGCCCAAGAGGTTGGGGTTGGGGTGGGGCCCTCTGCCATAACAAAATTTTAAAACATCAAAATTAAAGAAAAAGAGGTGATATTTCAAACAAGTAGATCACAAATATCATAATCCTTCACCATGTCCTTCATTCTCATGTAATTCATTCTTCTGGTTTATCTAGGGCTAGCAATTTCAGGCAACAATAGATTTTAAAGTTCTGCTCAGAGTTCATTTTACAAGAAAATGTTTCTGTGACATATATAATTTTAGAGTTATTTCATCATACTACAATTTCTTATGTTCATTAACAAACAAACAGTAAGGTTCAAGCACCATCTCAAAAGTGTGTAAATACTCAGAGTATCAAAAAGCTTAAGGAACAGACCCAAATTTCCAGGGCTGAGGTGCTGCGCCAGTGGCACATTTGAAAGTATGAAGAGTATTGAAGATCATATGGAAATTTTGAGCCATCTAGTTCATCAACATTAGTAGCTCAGTGTTCTTTGCAGTGTGGTTTCCAAAAACCCATGGAAAACAGGAGCCAGGGATTTAGCTCAGTGATTTTGATACCTGCCTCACAAGTCCAAAGTTCTGAGTTTGATTCTCAGTACCAAAAAACAAACAAAAAAAACAAAAACAAAAAAACCCATGGAAAACAATGAAGAAAGATTAACATCTTGGAGTCCACCTGATGGGAGAGAAGATAAGAAACATCCAAGTAAAAAGCCATTGGAAACCAGTACCAGTGTTCACTCTTGACACATTCCAGAAGACATGGGAGAAAAATTACCAGCTGAGAATGTGAGAGATAACCCTCCAATGCGAGAACTCTGGCAGGCCACAAAGTCTACATTTCCTGGGTATTTTATTATTTGTTTTTTAAACCAATAAATTATTATTAAGATTTTTTAAAAGTGTTTAAATACTTAGGTAAACTAGTCCTTTCATACTAATCCTCATGAGAAATGGCCTAGTTCAGTGGTGTTGAAAATATGGCACACATGCCAGAAAAAACACTTTGTATCATTGCAAGCTTAAAAGGTTCACCATTAGTAGTCTACTTATTTAATTAGTATATATGAATTAAATAACATCATATATCTAAGGCATCAAGTTACTAAAACGATTTTGGAAAATAGTTTAAGGAAAACATATGTAACAAAGCTACCCATAATGTCAGGTTATTTTAACTTTAAACTAATGTAACTGGTAAATCCAGGGAGACTAAAAATGTAAGCTCAAAATGTACTTAAAAATTTGCAAAGAATAATTATTTTAATAAGAACAATAATATCAAACTAATTTTATTTAGCAAAGATTTATTCAACTCATGAGAATATACAAAGGATACTGGAGTATTTCTTTTTTGTTGTTGTTTTTGGGTTTTTTTTGTTTTTTTTTGGTACTGGGGATTGAAATCAGGACCTTGTGATTGTAAGCCAGGCAGAGGAACCACTGAGCTAAATTCCCGGCCCTGAAGTTTTTCTTAATTTCTGGGACTTTGGGGTTTATTTAACCTATATAAGTGCTCATCTAACTCCCAGGATATTGAAAAGAAATCTAAATTATATTGATTTAATTAGTAATACCACTTGGAACTACAAAATTATCATGTATATAAAAATACCTAAATAAACAATCAAATATAATTAGAGATTTTATAGCCTTCATCCTTAAAATTTAAGTCATGAATCAGCCAATAAATTAATAAAAATGTCACTGCTATATCATCTTAACATTATATTTCACCCAAAATGTGTTTCTGAAAAAAATTGAGACAAGTTAACATACATACTCAATAAGGGTAAAAGTTTTTGAGGCATTATGCAGAAACATTTAAGGTTTTCTTTTCTCCTCATATGGCTGGGTTGTCTGATGGAAGCTTGGGCTACATTTTAGTCTGAGGACACAGGTACCCTTTAGCCCTCTGGATGACTTCTGAGCCTATCTGGGTGGATAATATACTCAGTAGGGTTCCAGTTGGGTTTGGGGACCCATGAGTTCTTGGAAAGCCCTAGACTGACACTCCAGCAATGTAGGAACCTCAAGGTGAAATGGGAAGTAAAATGTGTGGGTGTTGTAAGGGGGAAAGGTGAGACTTTGAAGGATCACATCTGATAGGATGAAGAGGGCAGAGGGGAAAAATAAGTGTGGTAAAGGAAGAAGAAACAGAAGTGATGGGAAGGGAGGAGTATTCTAGGAGCAGGTTTGGACCTTCCTTAAGTTTCCCTAAGTGGCCTTGAAGATCCATATTGCTCATACAAAAATGACAGCAACAAGAAAGAAAGCATGGAAGGTTGGAAAAGTGTAAAACAAAGAGTTTGAAAATGAGTTCTCATTCTACTGAGATGTTCCTATGGGAAGTAAAAGAAAGCCTTATAACTAGCTTGGCACAAGAGTCCAGGATTATTTTAGATAGTGTGTATACTATAGAACATAAGAGAATCTAATTAAATTTTAATGAGTCAAAGCAGGCATAATAAAGATATGCAAGTAGTTCATAGATGTGCATTACTCAGCAACATCTCTTATGTGATTCTGCCTCCTTTACTTCCACAAATACTGGAAAGAGCCTATCCATAATGCTGTTCTTGGTGCTATTCAGAAAAAGACTCAACAAGAGTGAGGATTAAGCATAACTGTCAATTTGGTTGGCTTGGGAGCAGCCCAAGGGTTTGGTAAATGATACTTTCAGGTGTGTCTGGGTAGGTAATGGGGACATGACCTTCAGTTATGGTCTCTTGGTCCTTCCTTTCTGGCACTGTTCCCCTGTCCTGCTTCTAAGCCACAATAAACTAATCAGATTTGCTCTGTTGTGCCCTTACCCCATAAGGTTTTTCTCTTGGACCTAGCCAATCATGGTCTGAATCTACAATTATGTATTTAAAAATATATATATCATGTGTTTTATATCTAAACAGGTTTTTAGTTCTGTAATGTAACACATACTTCCTTTCCAACGATTCTCTAGAATCTTGCAATACTGAAAAATTCTCAAATTCAAGAAATCCTTGTCACTTTTTTCTTGAATCCTTGGCTAGCCTACTTTTAATTTCTATTTCTATGAATTTGACTCATTTAAACACATCATACAGTTGGATTCAAATAATATTTATCTTATATTTTGAGGGGCTAATTTTACTTAATTTAACATCATCTTTTCTCAGGATAAAAAGAATTTAGAAACTACCTCCAGAAGGAAATCCCATTATCTCCAAACACAGTAACACTCACAGACTCTGGCACAGAGAAGACAGTGGACAGTGCCCAGCATGTTTTCCAAGACCAAACCATGGCTGCCTGCTATGAATGTTGGCACTACCAGGCCCAGAATAAATGTTCCTTTTCAATCTCAGAAAAAAAAGTTTATTAAATGTAGCATGTGTCTCAATTGCCTATGTTTACAAGACTTAAGAATATTTCTGTATGTGCATACTTCATATAATTTGTTCTCCTATGTCCTTCTCCCTTGAAGTTTCTCACTTGGAACCTGCCAACCATGAACTGAATCTACAGAAACTGTGAGCCAAATAAACTTCTCCCTTCAGCTGTGGGTGTCAGGTTCTTTGACTTTTTCCCACTTAGGAGAAAGCTTTCAAATATACCAACTTTGTGTGCAAGTACCAAACAAATCAGCTAGACTCAGGGAAAGTAAAATCTCAACCTACTATGGTAGATTTGACCCTGCAATATCTCAATGAGAAATATATAAGAGAAAGGGTCAACTGTATGAAATAAAATTGCAGTGCCCATTGCCAAACATTAATAAAATAACATGAAATAAATGGTTACAAATAAATGACCTCAAATAGCACTTTAAAAGGCACCATTATATTTAGCACTTCAGAATTAATATAAAATATACATTCTTTAGTGTGTAGTCAGGTATTTACATAGATTGTTGCAATAGAAGAATATTGACTATTTCTGAAATATGTATATATGATACTGATGAACTCTTCTCAAAGATTCAATTTATGAATTAATGAGGCTCCATGCCACACAATTAAATATAAAATAAATACAGGATAATTATGAATTTTATTTACATCATCATTTTAGTACTTATCATTATCATCTGTAGTTCTCATTATGTCTCATATGATAGGCATTTAATTGTGTGATTTCTTAAACTCTTTAGCCTTTGGTCATGCTATAATTTAAAATATGACTAAAATAATTGGAGGTTTTCTTACCCTTAAAGGTGATATGCAGATTTGATGGCAAGAAACCAGATACCCTAGGACCCAATGCTCAGCTGTACAAATGGATCTCTCAGAATGACCTTCTCAGTGAGTCTCTCAGAACAAACCCTGAAACATAAGAAACAGACCACAGCCAAGATAACAGATTGGTAGGAAATAAACATATGGAAAATCTGCTATGAACAAGGCAAAAACTTCCCATCAATTTTACATTTATGTTCCCTTCTTAGGGAAAAAATGAATAAAGAACAACTACTGGCATTTTATTACACACAGTAACAGTCTTTATGGTCAGAAGAACTTTCTAATCACTTCTCACCTTGTCTTTATCTCTTATCTCTAGTTCTTCATTCTTATTCTTCTGCCTACTGCAGGGCTATTTCAAATTTGACTAAAAACTAAAACTCTCTCTTTCATTGCATCTGACCCTTCATTTTCCTTAGCAATGTTCCAAATCATAAACTGATTAAACATTTCGTGATGAAGACTAATCTTCCCTTCCAGTGACTCTAGAACCATAAATACTCCCTGCTGCCCTAAGTACCTACATATCAATCTCAGGAATTTCCCTGAGTCTTTAGGAGAACACATTTTCCCATGTCACTTCCTATGTTTTCACATGCTATTTCCTTCTTCTCAGGATGTGTTCTTTCTTTTGCCTAGATGGCAGCCTTGTTTTACTTTATCAAGTCAGTGTACTAAGCACTTTCAACACAGTTTCATGGTTATACTAATCAGTTACCTAGGAAACATTTCATCTTTCAGTGCCTTATATTATAATTTCTTATTTTACTTTTAAGACCTATTATCAATAATTTTCTTTAAATTCATCCAATCCTAGGTCATCCAAAAACCAAAGCTTTTATAACTTATGGTGGAACAAATGGCATCTATGAGGCGATCTACCATTGGGTCCCTATGGTGGGCATTCCTCTGTTTTATGATCAACCAGATAACATCGTTCACATGAAGACCAAGGAAGCAGCTCTTAAATTGGATTTCATCACAATGACAAGTACAGATTTGCTCAATGCATTGAAGACCGTGATTGATGATCTATCAGAAAAAATTTTATGTCGTAGGCAATTTTCATAGATCAGTTATCTTGACAATTAAAATATATTGAATCCTATTTTTAATCTAGTTTTGGAAATTGAAATGATTTAAATACTGTGAAGTAGGCTTTTACAAGCAATGATTTGTTTTTTAACATTTCAAAAATGTTTCCTTTTTATTTAGACATAAAACACATTTACAGCATGCAGGTTAACTTAAAATTTTCTATGACCTGCTTTGGGAAGAGGGTTTCTATGACTCACTTTTTTTTTCTTTTCTGTTACTCGGGATTGAACTTAGGACCTTGCCGTTGTGAGGCAGGCATGGTGCCACTAAGCTAAATGCCCAGTGAAGTTAATTTAAAATTATATTGCATCTTTCCAAACCAATTACCTTTGAGTGTATTTTCAAGTACTGAAAATACACCAAGGTATTCCACAGGTAGACTCAAATTGTCTACTATTACTTCATGTCAAATTGAGTTACAAAAAAATTGAGAGTTATGCATAGTACTTAGTTTTCTTAAATTAGTCAAATAATTTAGTTAATTGATCACCATGTATAAATTACTTTTATGTCAATGAATTTCTCTTCTGAACTATTTATCAATACCTTTCAGAGGAATGTTAATATATCCAGCCAAAATAAAAGATGCCACAAATTGAAATGTGTCAATATTCTAGATGATCAGAAATTTCCAGTTATAAGAATAAATACTGTGTTTAATTACCTACCATAACAAAGAGTATTTCACTGAAAACAAATTCATGAAATTCTTGGTGTACTTTCTGAAAAATTGAAATTTTAAATAGAAAAAAAATAAGATATTTTAAAAACTTAATGTCATGTATTCTGAACCACATACTAGTTACAATTCATTGTTTTTTACACAGCACCAATATCTATGATACATCTTACAACTACAATAAGAGAAACAAAAATCTCTTCCTTTATAAATATTGACAAAGAAACAAGTTTTCATTTGAAAGAATACAAATGTCTCTATGGATGTAAATGAATATCTCTGCATGTAAGAAGCTATCACCATAAAGAGGCTGAAGCACGTGTTTGTTAACTGTGTTTCTTTGATCTTGCTGCACCATGCTTTCCTCTCAACTCCAATCAATCACTTCTTGGGCTTTTGGCTGAGATCAAGTCTAAAAGCAATACAATCATTTTAAAGACTGCAGACTACAACAGCAAATTTTTTGACTGTTAAATAAGTAAATTTCTATACTTAATAAGAAAAATTATACTGTATGATATACTGTTGGAGGTTAAAAACAGCTCAAAGATTTCAGACCAAAATTTATCTAAGTATTTATAACTTTACTGTGTATCTGTCCTGTTTCTTCAAATTTTCCTCAATTTTCATAGCCTACAAATTTATATCAGCCAGTAGAGTATCTAACAATATAAAATTAATTCCACAATATCTTAATTTTACTATATTAAAAATGACAGAGCTGGGGAGTTAGCGCAGTGGTTCTGCCACCTGCCTTGCAAGTGCAAGGTCCCGAGTTCTATCCCTGGTACCAAAAAAGAAAATGACGAATTACTCCTTGCCCAATTCTATTAGCTAGTAGGCTCATCAGAATGAAGCAGGCCATTTTCAGTCCATCAGCTATGTCAAGTACAGAATTAGGAGGAAGAGAGATGCAATTCCTTTTCCAAGTTCTCTTTAACTGAGATTTGCTTTTGATATGTGAAATCTTCCCATTCAGAATAATTGAGCAACAGGCACTGCATGAGATAATGATCACTTGCTCAGTCTCAAATGCCTAGTTAGGCAGCGGAAAGGTTTCTGTGCTCAAGACAATAGTTTTCAGAATCAAATGCCAGAAGTGATACAAATAATTTTAACCTTGATTTCACTGCAAGGGATTTTAAAATACAGTACCGACCTGATGTATTTTGTCAGCATGTAGTGTTGTAAGTGGTAAAATTTAAGATGTTTCATTTTCCCTAAATAAAAAAAGGCAGACATTTCAGTAGGAAAAGAAATACAAGAAGCAGTAGCATCTAGGTTATTCAAACTGAAATTAAAAACAAATACATAAGCAAAAAGCAAATACAAAATGTACAGTCCTATAAGGTACAGTTAGCTTGGCACAGTGAAGACTAAATTTAAGACACCAAAGACAAACTGTGTAATAAATAAGGCCACAGTTGTAAACTGTCATCTTCCCTCCTAAGACACCAAAATTGCACTCTAGTTGTGTTAGGAAGCAGCAGAGTTTACAAAAAGAGTGGGTAGGAAACAGCTGTACAGGCCAGGTGTAAGTCATACATTTTTTAAAAAGTTATAATTCTATAGTATCAAGAGAGTAGAGGTTATAGTCACTGAATGACTGTTTGATACTATGTCCTCTTCATACTTCAATTATTTTCCATACCTGTGAATATGCATACACGTTTACATTTGTTTGCCTCCGCCACCTTGAAGTGTGACTGGCTGGCTATACTGGACAAATGCCCCTCCTTGGCAAATTGCACTTGGGTGAGTTGGAGATGCTTCTGAATGTTTCCCAGGATGAATAGATTTACAATCTGTGCAGAATGCCCACTTTTGGCCATGTTCTTTGACCTGACTGCTTCCTTTATGTGGTTTACTTCTTGCTGATAGCATTTGTGATCACAAGATGCATTTTCTCTGGCTTCTTTCAGTGTTGACTTCAAAGCTTTCACTCTGGGCTGTAGCTCAAAGGAGCTTCTCTAACTTAGGAAGTTCACAGTGAAGATCTGCATTATCACATACCAACTGTGCACCATAGTGAGTTGTTCGAGATTATTTTCAAGAAAGATCTGCTTTTGAGCAGCACTGCCTCCAGTATCATCAGAATAAATCACAGAATGCTTTTTATTTTGTTGTTAAATTCTTTTATTGGTACATTTTAGGTATACAACACAATTACATTTCTCATTGGGAATTACACCTTTACATAATACATCTTGGTTCTTATTTTTTTCCCCATTCCTAGCCCTCCCTTCACCCCCTCCACCCTTCCCTATTTACAAAGACATTATTT